GTATAGTACAGAAAAGAATATATACATACATCCTCATTCTGTTATACGATAGTTCCATATTCTTTTTCTCAGGCATATTGAATAATACTGTTCTTAACTTTTGTTTCCAATCAAATTACCGGTGAATTTATTCACCGGTGAAAATATTCACCGGTGAATAAATTCACCGATGCGAATTTTGACGGCTTCCCTAAAATCATGCAACAACTTAACGAAAATGCAATCGTTTTATGGAATGAACATGTAGATACACGTTATAACGTGTATCTACATTCTTTTTCTCCATTTGCTAGCTTATTTTCTTCTTTCTACTTTTACCAGATCCTTAAATTGTTATCACAATATGCGTAGCTCTTGCTTTTCTCAATCGTCGATAATAATGGAACTTGTCTCTCTTTCGGTGGGTAGAGATAGTATAAAAATTGCTGATTTCTTACTTTTTCAGATAAATAGCTTATATCAAATTCTGATACATTTACAATCCGTGTGCCATGACTCATACTTAATACAAACTCTTTTGTCAAATGTCTACCGGTTGTCACTAGTCGCGGACCGACAGCGGGGCAGTTGGGGCAATTGCCATACCAATAAAAATTTGTATGGCAATTGAAATTCGTTCAAGACTAGCAAAAAAAACGTCTTAAACAGAGCATTTTTTTCCAAGCAAAAACTTTTCCAAACTTATTGCCATACCAAACTTTTGGGTCTCGGCCCGCCACTGGTTGTCACCACACTTACAGCATCAATAGCAATAGCAACGTAATAAACATTTTTAACAGCTTCTTGGGGTGAAGTAGCAAAATGGGTTCCTTCATGACAGAATATTCCTTTCGATCTAGCAACATTTTCTGGCTCGAGACGAACAATTGGCTAACGATGGACCATAAACAATAACCGTGTGCCCTTCATGAATTAATCGTTGAATAACATGCTTTCCGATTGCACCACATCCAATAACAGGCGATAATATATTTTCTCTCTTATCATTACTAAAATTTAACTTTTCAATGATGTATTGTGCAACAAATGGTGCATTGACACTTGGTGTTCGATAATGACTGATATTTAAAATGTTAGCCATTTCTATATTGATACCAGACATACTTGAACCACAACGAATAATACTTAGTAACGCTTCATTGTATTTCGCCATTTTTGAAGTGTTTCTGCACTAACAATATTGGAACCAACAATAATTGTGCCTGGTTTATACATGACTATTTCAATCTGTAAGCCAACTGGATCATAACTTAAATTTGGTAAATATTTTATCTTATTTGAACTATCAGTTGAAATAGTTGGACATCGATAACCAATTAACACTTTCATCTTTGCTTATTTATTAAAAAAAGTTTGTCTTGTCAGAAAAATACACGCTCATGAACATCTTTCTAAAAAGTATATAGGATTTATTTTGTTTCTTTAAATTTGTTGTCCCATTC